TTGCAATTCCATACTTTTGTACTTTGTTTTGTTTGAAAAAAATAGGCTTTCAATACTCTAACACGATTATGAAAGAATTTCAACGCCATTGATAGTTTGCCAGTGACCCGGGGTACACAGTGATGACACCTATTGTATTTTTCACTTACCACTTTACACCCCTACTACTGTTATTGTGATTTAAATTTAAGACACGGTTTAGGGTTTGGTTGACCTATGCAAAGGCTATAGGGTAAACCCGGTTTTATAAATAAAATTGACAAGAAAGAAGAAATTGTTATAGTCTGTATGTCCTGTAAAATTTGCTTCCAAACCTTTCTGAAAGACTTTCATGATTTTAAACAGGAAAGGAGTGGCTACAGGGGGAGGGGGTGTTAAACGAACATTATATATCTTATCATACTTTACGGCGGACCGATACGCTGGTAACAAATAGGTGTAATATCATCTACACTGACAAACCTTTGGTTGCCTTACATGGCTATTGTTATAAATGCACACAGAGAATTTTACCACGAGCAACTGACCAAAAGTTTACGCCAAATACATGTTTACATTCTACTTCGAACGCATATTTCACTATAATCATGTTAATGGAGTGTAAAATAAAAAAAAAATTCTTATGAACAAATTACAAAGATTAGAAACTGCGAAAGATTTGTTTGTTAACTAGAAAAAAAAAAGTTTAATAAACTGTATTTTTTCTCTAAGTTTAGAACAACAGCGTTTCAAGGGTAAGAAAAACAAACAACATCTCTTATGCATTTAAATGGACAAAACTTTGTTTACATAACTATACATGTACTCGTGATCACGTGTTTGGCCAGGGAATGCATCTGACAATTGTATTCAGCGATAGTACAACACCCGAAAAAAAGAATTAATTAAAACACAGATCGCTTTGCAGTATGACATTGAGAAACCTAGACTTCAACCGTTTATTTAACAAATGAATTGTTTTTCATTGTGAGCATGCCCGCCGAAATATGGCTGAAATACTGCTGACTCGGCGTTAAAACAATAATCAATCAATTAAGCATTTAAAAGATTTCCTCTTTTTTAACCGTGAAATTCCTGTAGGTTTCGTAGTAACCCATAATGCAATTCTCATTCAGCTAAATATTTGTCCAAAAAGAAGTTTTAATTCACGACTACAGAAAATTGTAACACAGGCAAAGTAAATGCTTATTTAATTTTGAATGAACGTGAGAGAGATCGAATGAAGTGCATTTCTACAGATATTATTGGGTGGTAAAAACTGACTGTTTACCATGTCTCCACGTGCTAGTAACTTCTTGGTCACATTTTCGTGAATAAATTACCATATCTAGCTGTAGTCTTGCTATCTCTCGCCAGAGCCACTGCCCGACCTACTCTGAATTCATCGGGTTTTATAATTTGAAGAACACAGAAAAAAAAGTTTCCGAATACATAAGTAGGGGTGCTATACCATGTTTATTTTTTGACAGAGATCGATCGTGTCCTCTCTGCAGCTGTTTGATAAAGAAAAAACATTTACTCTTTGTATGAAAGCCAATTATATTGACAATCAAAACAATATACGCAGTACCGTTAAGGCTTCCCGGAGCTGAAATGTATTTATAACGTAACACTGCATTGCAAAGTTGATTTTGAGTTTTATTTGTAAGTTTTGTACTTCAGTACGCCAAATTCATATTGAGAATCCTCTAGGCTATTTATTAACATATTTGTTACGATGTCACATGATCTTCTTGATCACGTGACGGTCATTTCTTCTTTTTGGAAATGTTCCTCATAAATCGCTTCTGCGCAGGCTGTTAACACAATTATTATTATCCTTTTGTCACATAAATAACTCAGTGCATCCTTGTGAAACCAAAAAGTGCTTGGGAAATTTTAAACCTTTTCTTTGGAACAATTTATTTCATATTAACTTTAACTTACCGACAAATCTGAGGGTATTTTCCGCCGAATATCATCAACTGTTTTAAAACAAAGCCATCATTCATTTTTCCCAAGCAATATTCAGTTAGAGGGGAACTCTTCTCACATTATTCCACAAAAGATATTAAATAAATCCTCATTTACAACCTGCGCAAGGCTCTTTTATACACACATTATGAATTCTCCCTTTTACGGGTGAAAAAAAAGGGTAAATGTCAAACGTATATTTCCGTACGTAGTGTGAACACATGACTCTTATACAAGAGAATGAAGCAAAGCTCTTTTAATTATTCGGATATATTAGACTTTTGAAAAAATTATAAAAACACCTTTATTTTAAACTACCATTCTGTAATTTTATATGCAGATTGAAATGAGGTGTTTTTTATGACACTCTCCCCATTTTTACAGCTAAGTATAGCGATTTACGTCATTTTCAATTATGACGTCATACATTTGTAGTTCAGAGAAGTTCATGCGGAAGTACACTGCAATATTCTCTGGGAACCCTTTACGACCTGCGTAAAAGTATCGAAAAATTATTGACTGGTTAAGATTGCGCATGATGAGACGATTATTTTGATATCCATCATCAAGAAAATAAATTAATAGTAGTTTAAAATTCTTCAAAAATACTTTGAAAACATTTTATCGTAAAACTGTTTACATAATATAAGAGAACCTTTTTATTTAATATTTTTGTATATAATGAATTTATACTAATAATAATGACTGAGGGATCCCCTTGCGAGCAACGAGTAGGTCTTCCGTTCGATTATTGATACGACCATAAAACAACTTTAAATGAAAAAAAATGTTCATATCAATTCCTAAAAATACGTGAGAACTCATTTAAGAGTGAAATCTGTCATCTTTAACTACTTAGGGTTTTTTAAATTATTTCAGTGACCGGAATACAAAATGACCTATAATTCCTCTCGGAGTGTGAAGGAATATCCCTAAAATTTGATGAAAATGCTTATTTTTTACTATTCCCGGGTTTTGGGAAAAAATACTTCCAGTGGACATAATATTACTCGAACACCCCATTTGTCTCCATAAGAAACATTTAAACAAGAAAAAAAATAAAATTTTGCATATTTTTTAAACTACTTCCGGTGGACAACGGACGTGACGGCAACAAAAACTTTATACAAAATTCAGTAGAGCCTGTCACAATCTATCATCCCTGAAAGTTTCAAGACAAAATCCCCAACCCGTTTTTAGAACACTTCCGGACAAAATGACACTTTAAAAAAAAAAAATTACTGTATTTCGCACTGGAAGTGACGACGGAAAAAAAAAAAAGTCCTAAGTTCATATGATTTCCCATCATTGCTGAAAGTTTCATAAAAAACTGTCGACGTGTTCTCGAGAAATCGTCTGCACAAAATCGGTAAGAAAAAAAAAAATTTTAAAGTGGAAAAAAAAAACAGAATCAGTAGAAAATCTTCTGTTCGGAACGGAAGACCTTAAAAATAAAATAATTTATGAAAAAATGATGGATATATATATTTTTTTTTGGAATTAATGGTTTCTTCATTTTTAGAGTTATTTCAGAGCTATGACAAAACTCAATAAGTCTCTTAACAAAAAATACTATTATGTGTACTGTTTAGAATATTTTTATAAAACATTCTTAGAGATGTGCTGTATATACAGAGCTGGCATACCTTACCAAACTGTAGATATACCGTAGATTACTGTAAAAATACGGTAGGATACAGAGAAAAAAAGGGGATTTTCATATGGAGTTTTTAAAGCCAGTAGCGATATACCATTTATTTTTCCGAAACACCCTCATTTTATTGCTGCCGTTTTTGCCTTTGCGTATTGTTCAATTAGATTCCTATGAACAGAATCACGTATTTGAATATTTCAATTTCATCCTGGACAATTTCCGTCATAATAGTTTGTTTGTAAAGAAGCAATTGTATTTTGTGAGAGTTGTACGTATAAATTAAATAATTCGTATGTGTAGTTTTCTTATCTTAGAATTCAATTACATTATCTATAAATCTGCTAAAAAGTAAAGGGGTATTTTTTCTGAAGGTACCAAACTTTCATAATTTTTTTTTTTTGGGGACAAATTAAAATCCATTATTTAAAGTCTATGTAGGACAACCAGTGCCTTTAGTAAGTTTTCCCGTAATATAAAGAGGCAATCTTAGGGGCCCCGGATTATTCCTTTATCCGCTGGAGGCGAGGCAGGCAAAAAACCAATAGGCCAAGTGCAGTTAAAATCGTTTGTCGACAGGATATTGTGAATTCACGGATATAGCGAATTTATCTTGGATCTCCATCTATATAAATTTAATGAATTTCTAAAATGGTTATAACGAATTACGGTTATAGCTAAGTAATTTCATAGGTCCCCCATTCTTTAACCAAGTTTTACTGTATTTACAGATCTTGTATATTGTATTTTTATTCTATTATATAAGTAAAATATATGAAAAAGCCTATAGGTTTTTTTCAAAATTAGTAAAATAAAAAAGAGTTAATCTGCTCGACTATCTGTGACAATACGCTTTTGTAACATGCTCCCCTATTCTATATTTATGTTTAGATTGATATGTTCCTTGCATTGCATCTTTGCAGTTTCTTTAAACAGATGTAATAATAATTTGTTTTATTATGTCGCCCCGAACAATTCGGGGGCGACATACAGCGATTGTACGCATGTTTTTGTTCTATAGACTGTTTTTCTGAGATGGCCTGAAACTTTCTTCAAAGTACGATTACTGGTTGTAGTTTTGTTGCGTGCATGGTAATTCATTTTCAAAATGGTTACCGTTGTCATTAAAACTTGAAAAAAGCGACAGATTTTGTCCAAGAATGTTCTCTCATGACCCTTGGGCATTCGTCATGAAACTTTATTGATTTAATGATTAGTATATGTAACTGTTCATGTTGCATTTAAAAATTGCAAATTGGTAATTGTTTCCATGGAAGCAGGAAAAAGTGAAAATAATTTAGCTTTGATTTTAAATCAAAGAACCGAAAAGGCTGATACGATTCGATGGTTGTCCAAAACTTAGCAAATAGGTATTGTAACAATACTATTGTTTTAGTGATAAAAAAATTAAAGTCTTTTCTGACCCGAATTATCACAGCCACAGCTCTAGGGGTAAGATTATACTGCTTTGAAAGAAATAATGTTGATTTGTTTTTTTTTTTAAATTATGAGATCTTAGATTTGGAATGACCATCCACCTTGCCTTGCCTAGATTCTCTGTCCATTGGTTGTTTTATAATTTTTGGAATAACTGACAATTTATAAAAGAAAACCTAGACATTTCAGGATAAAGTATTATATGAATTGTTTTTTTTATCCCTAGGAACACCTGATTATTTCTAAGTTTGTCCTATCAGAAAAATGTTCTTGCATTGTTAATAGAAAGAACTGTAGCTATTCAATATTTTGTAAAATTTAGAGGGACTTGTAATGGAGTGGTTTGCATTACCATGAATTAGCCCTACAGTTATCTGCACCATGTATTGAAAGCATTTATAAATTATTAATTAATTGTTAATGATATTAATGAATTAGTGCATTGTTGTCTGCATTGACGCCTCAAAAAATCAGCCAGTTTATAGTATTTCATGTAAATAAATATACATTCCATGTATTCTTTGGATAAGAAACATGCTCATTTATTTCAGAATCAGAAATCCAAGAGTAGAGCTTGGAAACATCTGTAGTTGAATGCTTAGATTTAAGTTATTTTGAAAGACAAAACATTTTAAAGACATGACTCATATTGGGAGAAAGTAATGGCACATCAAATATGTCAAACTTTTTTAATGGAGGAACTGGGGAATTTGAAGTAGAATTGGCAGGGGTATTGGGAAAATTGCTTATCAATAAAAAGCTAAGTCTAAGAAAAATGGTTATGCTCAATGATATTCAATAAAATTTAATTTGTTATTAGATGATTTAACCAACGTTGGTAAGAAGAGAGCAGATCCTACCTCAGCCAACAGCAAAGGTCGGCCCGGGGGTCACAGGAGGACCCACCTGTCAGAGGTGTCCCCCCTCAGCAGTGAAAACGGCAGCCCAAGATCTTCTCAAAAGTAGGTCATCACTGACAATCAGGCAGAATAAATCAATTTTTGTATTGCAAGAAGTTTATACATAAAAATTGGCATGCATTGATAATGTAGATTTTTATTGAGAAGATAGCAGCAAATATCAGTTAATTTTTTTCAACAAACAACAAAAACACTTCTATTTTTAACTATTTTGAATATTTGCACTTAACAACCAGTGTTTGGTTGTTCTACCTTAGTGAGTAATATTATCTATTAATGTTACACAGACTGAAATACTTCTACACCTGATTATCTACTTGATGTATTTTTAAATCAAGATGTGGGATCCGATTTCAATTTGAAAATGAATAAAATATTTGCAAGTTAACATTCTTCATGCCCTATATATGTTTCAAAGTAAATCCTAAAGCAATGCAATATTACAAAACAGAACAGTACTGTTTAAATATGTATCTATAGGAACCTGAGTGGAATGTCATCTGAGGAATCACTGAACACCCGACTCCGTCCAGGCGTGAACGGTAAACACTCCAAGACACAGTCCAACGAACTTCAAGAGGACCTCAAACGCTTGATTGACATGGACCTCAAAAACAGTGACCTCAGAGGCATACTGGTAAGAGGCGACACACACAGGAAGGTTTACACTTTGTATGAGTTATTGAATTTGTTTAAAGTCAGTAAGGATAAGAAGGATAATATTTTGATGCTGATGTAACATTTTGACTGCAGTTAAACAAGAAGTTTCTGACAAGCAGGATATTAGTCACCTTTATTACACATTGAGTCTTATCAACTTGATATATATATATATATATATACATGTAATGATAAGGCTGATGATACAGCCGTATGAGCTATTAGAAAAATAATTATATGTTTTATCATTACTCTGTTATTCCAGTTTTACAATGATAAGATATTAACCTTTAACACACGTATGACGATGTGAATAAATTTCAGCAGGGCAGCTCTGTATCCTGTCTTACAATGATAAGATATTACTATATAGCACATTATATGATGGTGTAATTTAAGCAGGGCAGCTCTATAGAGAGACCGTCTTTTCCACTGAAGAGAACCATGTCTGATGAAAGCCTCCACAGTCAGAAGGGAGCCACCATATCCCCCTCCCGAGAGGCCATTGTGGCGGACCTCATTTTCTCCACCGCCCCTCCAGTACCTGCTCTCCCTAAGGAGGTGCTGGGAGATGCAAGGTAATTTTGATAATTAACCTAATTGACAATTCAGTAAAAAAAAGTTGTAGAGCAATTTATGAAAAGGTCATTTGTTTCTAAGCCTTTTATATTTCTCTTAGTGGAATTCTTTTTCAAGTTTGGCAGTGTAATGTGAAAGGAGTACACACTTGCATATGCTTTTTAATCAATGATGCTGATTTTTTAATAAAAAATCAATAATTGTTGTGTGTTTGTTGATGGATTCTAGAATAAGGATATGAAATTTCATACCTAGGTTAGAATTTCTCCAGTTAACTAGTTGGGCATTTATTAAAGTGAAAACTTTCATCAGATGTTACTCGTCTTAGCTGAACAATGTAATTTTGGTTGTGCTTTAACTGATTTTTAAAAAAAAAAGTGTATGGTCTTATTGACTTCTGATCTTGGGATTTCAGGTTGTCCCCTCGTGCTATGCTGGACAGTGCTATGGCAGCCAAAGCCCGGCAGGTATTGAGTCGTAACGCTGCAGCTGCTCAACCCAGAACTCAACAGAACCCTGTCCCTCTCCCCGAGTCAGCGGCCAGCTTAGACTGGTCCAATCTGGTCAACGTAGCTACAAAGGCCATAGAAAGTAAGTCTCAGAAATTACAAAAGCCACAGAAAGTAAATCTCAGAAATTACTCACAAAGGCCATAGAAAGTAAGTCTCAGAAATTACTCACAGAGGCCATGGAAAGTAAATCTCAGTAATTGCTCACAAAGGCTATATAAAGTAAATCTCTGAAATTACAATTGCAGACAAGGTGAGTTTTAAAGCCATTAATTTAATTACTTGACAGATCTTCTGTTCCAGTGTTCCACTTGATCAGTCAAGTGGAACACTCATTCCTTGGTTGGTTCAGTGCAAGCTTTTAGATCATGTTGACATGATCCATTAGGTATCTGCTAACAGTGAATTATAGGTCTGCATCAGAGATGTCACCACTGTGCTGTCTGATACAGAAAACATTCTATAAAATAATCAATGAACAGGTAAACTGTCTGTGCCATGTGTAGGAATTAATGATCATGTTTTCTAGAAGAGGTAAGGTCTTTATTATTGTACTTCAAATTATATTTGCTGTGTGTTAGGTTTGTTTTCCCCTATTTTATAAATGTGAAGTCATGTTCTTGAGGAGAAAAAAATTAACAAAGACCTTTGGTTTTCTTTGTTATTTTATATAGAAAAGTGCATCCTCGGTGCAAACAAAATCAATGTTTATGTAACTCCTCACATTTATCATGCCGGAGTTGTTTTGATAGTATTTGTTTGTCTGGTGTTAGGTACAGATGGCTCTAAGTCCCGAAGTTCTGGTAGGGATCCAAAGGACAGAGCTCTCCCACCTGAACCAAGTAAAGCGGGGGTCAACAAACCAACCAGCAGTTACACAAAGCCCCCAACCAGCCAGCCACAGGGGTAAGCTGTGTAATCAATAATGGTAGAAAACTGTGTTGTTTACTTTTAATGAATTTCTATAAAGGATATGCATGTACTCAAACACTGAGAAATAGATATCCAGTATGTTACATGCTGATATAAAGGATATTGATGTAACAGTAAAATTATTCTCATCTAAAAGTTATGAGATGTAAATGAAAACAAAGCATTAACACCAATACACTTGAAAAGCTCAAATGTCAGTAAAAACCATTTAAAATAGGGTAGACATCTCTGTGTAAAGAGAGAAAAGAATGTACCTTATGAAACAGACCTTGCCTTTGTATTGACAGGAGTTCAGTTTGGAGGTCTGCTGTATCTAACCCCCAGCAGAGAATTCAGGAGCTGGAGAACAAAGTAGAGCAGCTAGAGATGGACCTAGATAAGGTAACAAGTTATGACAATGAATGCAAATACTCTATAACACAAATTCCTAGGGATGACAGGAATGACATTGTATACCTGTAGTTCATTCATAATATATGTAATTCATTATATCCAATCAAAAATTCAATATTTTTCTAGACCTAAAATTAAAAAAAAAAAAAAGAAATTTCAGTGCATGAATATTGCAGTACTTATATTATTTGATATTATAATTCATTAAGCCCTATTTTAAAAAAAAAATTTCAATCTGTAAAAATTTTTTTTTTATATACAACTCTACTGCATTCATTTTGTTGACCGTAGATGAGAGAATAGGAAAAAAAAATTAAATGTTGAAATTTTAATTCAGCTAGATAAACAGTTTTCGTACATGATAAGCCATTTTCCTGGATAAGATATGATAATTGTGTTTTGTCCCATATTTATTTTGTCAACTACTTAGAGTATATGATGGATAATAATTTACATTAATCAGGAGAGGAAAGAGAATGCTGATTTGGAGGCTGAAGTGGAGTCACTGAGACGAGACAACATCCGTCTTCAGGAGGAATCACAGACTGCTGCGGCACAGCTCCGCAAATTTACCGAGTGGTTTTTCCAAACGATAGACAGACAGTAGATATTACTCTGTGTAAAGGGGAATAACTCAACAAAAAGATAGAGAGCATTCTTCAGTGATATTCTTATGTGATAGAAATTTTGAATTTATGAAATCCATGACTGTTTAGGCTGCTAAATAAGGTATTTGGATCAAATTTAAGTTTTAAATGAAGTATTACAGGAGGTGTTTATGCAAATCATGTTGAATCCCATAAACAGGGGATAAAATTTTGGTGCATTAAGTTGGGGGAGCTTATGTAATACCCTCGGCGTCGGCGTCGGTGTCGGCGTCGGTGTCGGTGTCGGTGTCGGCGTCGGTGTCGGCGTCGGCGTCCCGGGTTAAGGTTAAGTTTTTTTGAGCAGTTTTCTTTTTAAGTACTTCTATGTCCTATATTGATTAGACATGCATGGAAGATGTTTCTAGTGTGTTTCATTGTACCAGTCAAAGTTTCAGATGCTGCAATTTCGGCAAAGGAATGACCAGGTTAATGTTTTTGGAGCAGGTTAACATTTTTGGTGCAGTTTTTGGTGTGGGTTTCATTTCCAAGTAACTATAAGCCCTATGTTGACCAAACTTGCATGGATGATACATCTAAGGATGCATACTACCGGGCTTCATTCGGATGCTGAATCTGACCTACATTTTCCGGTTGAGTGAACAGGTTAAAGTTTTCAGTGTAGGTTTCATTTCCAAGTAACTATAAGCCCTATGTTGACCAAACTTGCATGGATGATACATCTAAGGATGCATACTACCGGGCTTGCTTTGGATGCTGAATCTGACCTACATTTTCTGGTTGAGTGAACAGGTTAAAGTTTTTGGTGTAGGTTTCATTTCCAAGTAACTATAAGCCCTATGTTGACCAAACTTGCATGGATGACACATCTAAGGATGCATACTACCGGGCTTGCTTCGGATGCTGAATCTGACCTACATTTTCCAGTTGAGTGAACAGGTTAAAGTTTTTGGTGCAGGTTTGGTGTGAACAGGTTTCATTTCCAAGTAACTATAAGCCCTATGTTGACCAAACTTGCATGGATGATACATCTAAGGATGCATACTATCGGGCTCGCTTCGGATGCTGAATCTGACCTACATTTTCCAGTTGAGCGAACAGGTTAATGTTTTTGGTGCAGGTTTCATTTGCAAGTAACTTTAAGCCCTATGTTGACCAAACTTGCATGGATGATACATCTAAGGATGCACACTACCAGGCTTCGGTTGCTGAATCTGACCTACATTTTCCGGTTGAGTGAATAGTTAAAAGTTTTTGGTGCAGGTTTCATTTCCAAGGAACTATGAGTTCTTTAATGACCAGTCTTGCATAGATGATACATCTAAGGATGCATACTTCCAGGCTTGCTTCGGATGCTGAATCTGACCTACTTTTTGTGGATGAGTGAAAATGTTAGTTTTGATGCATGTTTCATTTCCAATAAACTATGAGCCCTATAATGAGCAAACTTGCATGGATGATACATCTAAGGATGCACATTAATGGACTTGCTTCGGATGCTGAATTGGACATACATTTTTCAGATAATAGACAAGGTAAAAGTTATGGTTGCAGGTCTATTACCAAAAACTATAAGGCTTATATAACATTGTATAAACCAAACTTGCACAAATGCTGCATCAAGAGATGAAAACTCTCAAATTTGCTTCAGATGCTGGATTTTCATTACATTTTCATGAAGAAGAAGTAGTTTAAATTTTTTATGTAGGTCTATTTCAAAGTATCAGATCAAAATTGCTTTTAAAAATATTTTCATTTTTGGAATGTATACTTTTTGTTGGTTAATTGTGTGACTTTGCCTTAATTAAAGACAACATTCGTTGAGGTGAGCTCTGTAATCTCTGATTACCTATGTTTAAACAGAGAAATAAACAAGTTGCTGTCCTTTAAAAAAAGGACTGGATTACATTATATCATTATCTTGTGTGCCTTGATGCACAAAACAAATGCCAGTGAAGACTTGTTCTATCTTTTAAAACCTAGAACTATTCGTTGAATGAAGTTTTAATTCAAGTTGTTAAGTTATCTATATTTTGCAAGTTCTTCCTACTTTTTAAAATGTGTGTGCCATTGAATCAATGTTAAGTTTGTATGAGAAACTCAGATGCACCAATGAATAAATTAATATGATAAGCAGATTTAAAAGCAAGATTTGCCAATGAATGGCGTATTTTAATTCGAACAGGGCGAATTATTCTATGGACAAGTTGTCATAGGGGCGAACTCTCTAGCATTCTCGCGCATGCGTAGCCTGACATATGCTTATGGCATCCGGTTTAACCTTGCTTATATGGATTTTTGATGAGGGCTATTCCGTCAAGTTTATAAGCCAAACCAGGGCTCAACATTAAGGCACGTCCGACCGACTCTGACTAGTAAAAGTTTGGTCCGGTCTAGTTTATTTCGCCTCAAGGTAGCCCGACTGGTCGTGTAAAAATATCCCTCAGTACATTTATGAACAGTTGATTTTGTTTGTATTATCGATGTGTTGAATCAGATTTCACTTTCATTTTTCGATCCCGATGAAAACTATTAACGATTAAAGTATTCCTGAAGAGGAAAATGAAGAAAACCGTACTCTTTACTGCATCAAAATTGTTTTTACAGATTTTGTTTTTATATCATCAGTTTATATAATTTTACATTCATCATTATTTCGCCAATGTTTTTCGCTAAAAAGACTAAATCTACTATAGGAGTTATCGTGCCTGCTAGATCATGTTTACAACATCTGCAGTGTATGATTTCAGGTCAATTGTTTAGAAATACAACACCCTTTCTGATATATATTTTGAATTTGAAATGAATAAATTTAGAATATTTTTGTTCATGAAAAAAATGAATTAATAATTTTTAGCTCACCTCAACGAAGTTGGGGGGAGCTTATGTGATACCGTCGGCGTCGGCGTCCCGGGTTAAGGTTAAGTTTTTTGGAGCAGTTTTCTTTTTAAGTACTTCTATGTCCTATATTGATTAGACATGCATGGAAGATGTTTCTAGTGTGTTTCATTGTACCAGTCAAAGTTTCAGATGCTGCAGTTTCAGCAAAGGAATCACCAGGTTAATGTTTTTGGTGCAGGTTAACATTTTTGGTGCAGTTTTTGGTGTAGGTCTCATTTCCGAGTAACTATAAGCCCTATGTTGACCAAGCTTACATGGATGGTACATCTTAGGATGCATATTACAAGACTTGCTTCGGATGCTGAATCTGACCTACATTTTCCAGTTGAGTGAACAGGTTAAAATTTTTGGTGCAGGTTTCATTTCCAAGGTACTATGAACCCTATAATGACTAAACTTGCATGGATGGTACATCTTAGGATGCATACTACCAGACTTGCTTCGGATGCTGAATCTGACCTACATTTTCTGGACGAGTAAACAGGTTAAAGTTTATGGTGCAGGATTCATTTCCAAGTAACTTTGAGCCCTATAATGACCAAACTTGCATGGATGGTACATCTAAGGGTGCATTCTACTAGACTGGCTTCAGAAGCTGAATCTGACCTACATTTTCCGGATTAGTGAAAAGGTTAGTCTTTTATACAGGTTTCATTTCCAAGTAACTTTGTGCTCTATGTTGAACAAACTTGCATGGATGATACATCTTAGGATGCACACTAGTGGACTTGCTTCAGATGCTGAACTTGACATACATTTTCCAGATAATAGACCTCGTAAAAGTTATGGGTGCAGGTCTATCACCAAGAAACTATAAGGCTTATATAAACCAAAGTTGCACAAATGATGCATCAAGGGATGAAAACTCTCAATCTTGCTTCAGATGCTGGATTTTAATTACATTTTCATGATGAAGAACTATTTTTAAGTTTTTATATAGGTCTATTCCAAAGTATCAAAATTGCATAAATTTTAAAAAAGGAAAAACATACAGGTGAAAAAAAATTTTTTAATTTTCCCAAAATGTGAAAAAAATGTGTTGGGGGAAAAAGCCCCTTTCAAGGTCCAAAAGGGGGGGCACAAACATTACAGACTCACTTGAGAACACATACAGGTGATATACCTTATAAATGTAACATTTGTGAAAAGTTATTCAACCGGAAAGATAACTTACAAGTACACATGAGAATACATACAGGTGATGAACCTTACAAATGTGGTGTTTGTGAGAGATTATTCAAACATGCCACCAAAATTTTAAAACACACATGAGGACACATACCGGAGATAAACCTTATGAATGTGATGTGTGTGGAAACATTAGCCATTCATATACTTGTCAGACACACATGAGGACACACACAGGTGATAAACCTTATAAATGTCATGTGTGTGGAAAAGCATTCAGCCGGTCATATACCTGTTATGAACACTTGAGGATACACACAGGTGATAAACCATATAAATGTGATGTATGTGGAAAAGCATTCAGTCGGTCATATACCCGTCATGAACACATGAGGATACATACAGGTGATAAACTAAAAAATTGTGACTTGTGTGGGAAGGTCTTCAATAATTTAGTCAACTTTTACCGCCACGCGGAGATACACACAGGTTATAAATCATATCAATGTGATGTGTGCGGGAAGGCTTTCAACCAATCACAGAACTTACAAAAACACATGAGAACACATACAGGTGATAACCTTATAAATGTGATGTTTGTGAGAAAGCATTCAGCCAGACAAATCACTTACAGACACACATGAGAACACATACATGTGATAAAACCCTTTTCAATTTGATGCACATTCTGGTGATAAATCTTTTGAATGTGATGTTGCGGGAAGGCATTCAACAATTCAGGGAACTTAGTGAAACACATGAGGACACATACAGGAGACAAACCTTATAAATGTGATGTGTGTGGGAAAGCATTCAGCCAGTCACAACACTTACAGAAGCACATGAGAACACAACGGTGAGAAACCGTATAAATGTGAGGTTTGTGATAAGTTATCTCCGGAAAGATACTTACAAGGACACATGAGAATACATACAGGTGATGAACCCTACAAATGTGATGTTTGTGAAGGCCTTCAAATATGCTACTGATTTAAAAAGACACAAGATGACACATACTGGAAATAAACCTTATAAATGTGATTTCTGTCTAAGGGCATATTGTAAAAAGTCAGATCTAGACAAACACAGGAAGAAACACACCTGTTAAATCTGTGTAGAAAATCATTCAACCGATCTATATACAGAAATATAGAGACGAGAAACTTAAGAATTGTGATATTTTCGGA